GTGGCTAGCTTGCCCTGCAGGGCCTCCTTCCCTTCCCTGGGGGCAGATCGTCTCCTGTGGTGGTAGAAGCTCCCGATGGGGTTCCCGCACACAAGGCCCCGAGGCCCCTGCAGGCTGTGGGCCAGGCTGGTGCCTCCTGCCCCCCCAGGTCTCTGCCCACTGCGGGTTGGATCGATGGGTCGTCGGCCCATTAGCGGGGGAGGCTAGGCTGCCTCATCAATATTTTAAGGAATGACCTGGCCGTGGGGTCCGGAACTGCGTGTGGCAGGGGCTGATGATTGGCCTTCTTTTTTGTATTCCAGTTGTGAGTGCTATTTTTACCACCAGAAGGCCAGCTGCCCCCTCTCCCAGGCCTCTAACCGGGTGTGTGTGTGGGGGGGGTGGTCTCCCATCTGGGTTCCTGGCCGCGGGGTTAGGAGAATCCTTGGCTTGGAAAGGTGACAGGCAAGGACTTGATTAGGCTTCCCCCATCTCGCCTCCCGGACGCTCCCTCCCATCATGCGCCGGCCCTGGTGAAATGGGAACAAAAAAAAAAACAGGAGCCAGGTAGGCCAGCGGAGCCTCGAAACCCGCGGGGTGATGCATCAGGGGAGGGCGGTCTGTCCACGTGGGCACCGTTTGTCTCCCACCCCTGTCTTCACAGAAGAAGCCTGAAGATGAGAGACAACCCCTGCCCGTCCCTGGTCCCAGGGGGGTGACAGTGGGGCCCCAGTCGTCAGCGTCCAAGGGCCATGACCGCCCCAGGCCTTGGAGGCCACTGCTCAGCACCCCGTTTCACTGATGGGGAGCCAAGGCCTGAGGAGACGCAGGGCCTGGCCTGAGACGGCGAGCCCACTGTTGTCCAGTCTGGCGCCATCCCGCACTGACTCAGCAAGTCTCTTCTGGCTCCCCGGGGCCATAGGCGGAGGAACTGGGACCCTGCCCACAGAAGCAAGAGGGCCAAGGACCACTGGGGCCATGGGAGCTCAGGGAGGGAGGGCCAGTGTAGGGGGGCTTCCTGGAAGAAAAGGTTTTACGCAGTCTAAGTGCCAAGGAGAATTTGAGTAGTCAGTAGAGTGAGGATGGCCATCCGGGCAGGGGCAAAGACCTAGGGGGGTCCCCAAGGCGCCGCTGGAGGAGGATTCATCCATGAACCTTCCAGGCCAACCAGACGGCAGGGGCCGGGGTGAATTCGGCCGCCCTGCTCCTAGTACCTCTGGGATCCCCTCCGCCCTGAGGTTCTGCTTTTCCCACATCTGGGTCTGGTCACCTGCAGAATGGGGGAGGGCCCTGTCTCATTAATTGGGTAACACACCGGCTGGTCCCTAGAGAGGGCTGGAAAAGCCTCCTGGCTTCACCACCCAGAGGTTGGCGGGGGGCCCCGGCTCTGCCCGTGGCCGCACATGGATTATAACGGTGCACCGTCTCCTGTGCTGTCCTTCCAGGGAGGAGTAGCCCTCCTCGCTATTTTAAAGTGAGGAAGCAGGCTCAGAGGTGGGAGTTGTGGTCAGCGTCACTCACCCAGAGGGTAGTGGGGCTGTCGGGCCTTGAACCCAGGTCAGCCAAGATCCCTGCACTTGGTCTCATCCCCAGTTTTGGCTCCAAGGGCAGTTGGGTTGGGGCTGAGCCCTCTTCTGTGGCCGGCGGCCTCCCCTTCACAGAAAGTCACTTTCTGTGCAGGGCTCCCTGTTGGCCCTGCTGCTTTAACTTTGACCTCTGGAGGCTCAACCCCTGTCCTTTCCGTGTAGCCCCTCCTGCTAGACCCAGGGGACACTGAGGGCTGCTGGGCTTCAGGCCTACTAGGTTCCTGGCCAGCCAGCAAGGGTGGGTAGGGGAAGTCAAGGCAGGCCTAACCTCCCAGTGCCTCCCAGGCCAGTCCCTACCCAGGGCATGGCCATAACCACCATATCCGTGGCAAGTTCTCTGAGTCCCACCCCTAGCTCCTGTGAGGACTAGCTGGGACGCACGCTGTGAGAGCCTCCCCCCAGGGCCCTGTCCCTCTGCTCTGCCCCTTCATCCCGCAGGAAGAATGAGGAGGACCAGGGATTGATGTGCAAATATGCCCACTGGGACTGTTTTCCTCCCCGCCTGCCCCCGCACCTCCTCCCAGCCCCAGGTGGGGCAGATGGGTGTTTACAGTGGGAGTTGGCTTCCCAGGCTGCTGTGTCACCCAGTCCGAGCCTCCTGGCGGAACGGGGAGGAAAGGCCACTGTGGGGAGCACGGTCCTGCTGGGTGAGTAGGTGGGCTTGGAGCACAGGAACAGAGCCTCACAGGCTTAGCTGCAGGGCTTTCTCCCCACTCCCACCCCCAAAATGTGCCTCCTCAGCAAGTCAGGACAAGGCCTTGGCTCTCCACCTTCCCTAGAGGCCTCGGTGGTGGTGGTGGCAGGTGCATTCCCACCTCCACCCTCATTCCTGGCATATGCCTCGTGCCTGCCTTCTGCCCCCAAGGAGTGTCTATGCTACATGGGGAGACAGACATGGGAACAGACACCTGGAGCACCCGGTAATTGGCACCTTGCTAGAGGGGCTTCTGGGAGGGGACTGTTGGAGCTTGGAGGAGACACTCATGCCACATAGTGGGGGGAGGCAGGGGGGAGGTCAGGGAAGGCTTCCTAGAGGAAGTGGCCCCTGGATTCATTATTGAAGGATGAGTAGGAGTTAGCCAGATGAAGAAAGGAAGACGAGCAGGCCCCATTCTCCCCCAATCCCACCCACTATGTCCTGAAAGTCTGCCTCCCAGTTACCGTTCATCCCTGCAGTAAGGTCAGTCTTCGTCCGCTTCCCTCTTCACTGTCATAAAGGCCAACGCAGAGCCCCCCTCCTCCAGGAAACCTTCCTAACTCCCAGCCACCCTCTTTCTCAGGCCCGGATAGGAGTCTCTGAGCAGCCCTGCCGGTTGGGAAAACTGTCCTCTGTGCTAAGTAGCCTCATCAAGTGGCCCGTTTCCTCCCTGGGGCTGTCCTGTGGTTATTGACTACAGATCAATGGCCGAGGTTGCCCCGAGGTGAGCGGGAATTCCCACGGTGCTGTATGGCCCAGAGGCCCCGCAGATGATCTCGTAGAAGTGGGGCAGCTATTTTTTTACCAGGCATTTAATTACAGAGTTTGGATCCCAGAGGAGAGATGAGCTGGTGCTCCCAGGAGCTCTGAGGGAAGGGCCATGCTGGGAAATGTGGGGATCCTGGGAGGACAGGTGAGGGCATGACCTTCTGTCTCAGTTCCCCTAACACCAGGCTGACCCCCCTCAGACAGGGACTCCCCAAGGCAGGGCAGGACCTCATCACCCCACTTCCTCCCCACTGGTAATTTTCACCCTGGCCTAGGGGCAGGGGTGGAATATATAAACACAGCGGGCTGGACCTGTGCCCCCAGGAGCGGTGGCCACCTTGGGGGACAAGGAGGCAAGGCCCCCAAATGCCTGGGCACACCAGTAGTTTGGCGAGCCAGAGTAATATAGGCTGGATGGACCTGGGAACAGGAGCGAGCTGGAGTCCCTACATCGGGACCTCTTCAGGAAAGCCAGGTTTGGATGGGAGCTCGGAGGGCACGGCATTCCAGAAGGTGGGAAGAGTGCAGACCATGGGGACGGAAAGAGGTCGGAGGACGCAGTGCTTTCAGTGCCAGTATGAAAAACGGGTCCTACCTGGTCCACACTGGAAGGTGAGCCCTGGGGTCCTGGAGTCAGGGGGAGGATCCCAGGCCCGTCACTAATGAGCTGCGTGTTCTCGGGCCCCATGTGAGGGCTTAGGCAGTGACAGCTGTGACATGCCTGACACATCCCCTCACATGTGTGAACGTGTGCTGGACACATCCATTTGTTCATTCGGTGTTTTATTATTTTTTTTAGTAATCTCTGTACCCGACATGGGGCTTGAACTCACAACCCTGAGATCGAGAGTCGCATGCTCTACCGACTGAGCCAGCCAGGCGCCCCCATTCATTCAGTGTTTACCGTGCCTACCATGTGCCCAGCACTGGGGACATAGCCCACTTAAAACACTGCATTCTCAGGGCAAGGGTGTGGTGGGGAGTGGGGGGTAGGACAACACAACCAAGCAAGGGAACAAATGGTATGTCAGATGGGGATAAGCACCACAGAGAAAAGTAAGCAATCCAAGGGCATGCAGACACCAGCGCTGGGTGGAACAGGAGCATTCCTTACTCTCAGTAGAGTGGGGGCCAGGGAAGGCTATTGGACAAGATGGTAGATGAGCAGAAACCTGAAGGAGGTGCGGGAGTGTGGGGGAAAGAACGTTCCAGGCAAGTGCAAGAGAGAATTGCAGGTGCAAAGGCCCTGGGGTGGGCCCCAGCAGCAGCCAGAGCAGAGTGGGTGGGAAGAGTGGCAGGAGATAGGCTCAGGGAGGTAAGTGGAGGCAGATCATGTGACAGCTTGGGTGTTATGGGTGGGACTTCTACTTTTACTCTGAGTGGAATGGGAGCCAATGCAGGATTATGAGCAAAGGAGGGACCTAATCTGTCTTGTTTTAGGAGTGATGACTCTGTTCCTGGGTGGAGAATAGACTGGGGGAGGGGATGAGTTGAAGTTCTGGGGGCCAGTGAAGAGACTGCTAAAGTACCGCAGGGGAGAGAACAGGTCATGTGGGCCCCTGGAGGGCAGCCCGGATGATGAGTGGAGGAAAGGTTGAGTTCTTGGCATATTTCAAAGGCAGAGCCGGGAGGAGTGCACACGACTCCTTCCTGTCCACCCACCTTTAGGGGCCCTCAGAAGAGATCTGCTTGGGAAGCTGGGTAACAGGAGGCTCGTGGGGACCCCAAATCAAGGCACCTGGGACCGCAGCCTCCGCCAGCCCCAGAAATGACCTCGAGAATGCCGTTTGAAGAGTGTGACGGGGGGAGGGAACCCCCTCCTGCAGATGCTGCCATCCTTCCCTGCTCTGAATGGCTGCATGATGTCGCACCCCACCCCAACACACACACAGCCCCAGGGAGTCCCGGGGGGAGAGGGGCCGGGTGGGCGCTGAGGTCCCAGAGTCACCCCGCGCTCTTGTCGCCCACAGCCGCAGGGGGCTGCCATGGGACGGGAGCCATGAATGGTGCCGCCCCCGGCCCCGCCGCCGCCCCCGCCCCGGTCCCCGACTGGCGGCAGTTCTGCGAGCTGCACGCGCAGGCGGCCGCCGTGGACTTCGCGCACAAGTTCTGCCGCTTTCTGCGGGACAACCCGGCCTACGACACGCCCGACGCCGGGGCCTCCTTCTCCCGCCACTTCGCCGCCAACTTCCTGGACGTCTTCGGGGAGGAGGTGCGCCGCGTGCTGGTGGCCGCGCCGGCGCCTCGGGGGGCAGCTGAGCCCCCCGACGCCATGGAGCCCGAGATGTCGGGGCCCGCGGCACTCAAGGCGGCGGCCTACGGCCACTCGCGGAGCTCGGAGGACGTGTCCGCGCAGGCGGCGGCCAAGGCCCGCGTCCGCAAGGGCTTCTCGCTGCGCAACATGAGCCTGTGCGTGGTGGACGGCGTGCGCGACATGTGGCACCGG